GGGCTCAAGGCAGCATTCTTAAAAGGAGGATTCCAAGGGTGTGAAAACAGCTATAAAACCTTTTAAATGAAGCTACAAGACCTATGTCATTTCTGTCACATTTTATTGGTCAAAGCAAGACATGAAGCCAGCCCCAGTTCAAGAAGAGAGAAAATAGACACCACCTCTTGAGAAGAAAGTAGCAAAGTCACATTGCAAAAAGCTTATGGGAGGGGAGAGATGGATGCCACCATTTTGGAAAACCATCTACCATACACCACCTCTTAACTAAAACAAGTCACACTCCAGCCACATGCAAAATCCACTGATCACCACCTTTCTCTGCAGCTCATCATATTAGGGTGTCTGCTCCAAGTCTGGGATCTAGGCATCTCCATCTGGTGCAAATGTGGAAGGGTGAGTTCCTTGTGCCCTTGTCTGCAGCTGCTCCATGTGGTTCTCTCCATCTAGAAACTTGTGAACTAAAAAGGCAAGTTTTCTCTTCCCTATACACCCAGCACAATGATGACACAAGGTCAGGAAAACTACAATAAGCTAATGATTATGTACTGTGTCCCTGTAGGGAGTGTTACCCGAAAATTGGGTTTGCTTCTTGGTGGGTGCAGAGCCAAGTCCATGACCTTCTTTCAAGACCTGAACAACTCAGTAGCCATCTTGTTAGTTCTCCGCTCTTTCAAAGTCCCAGCAGGGTTTCTATGGGGAAGAGCTAAAGGCTGGAAATGCAGAATTAGGAATGATTGGCTTTCATGAGATCCTAACACAAGTTTTCCCAGAGAGGTTGAGCAGCATTTGGGGATGGAACCCTGGCAGATTCCAGCAGCTGCGCAATTCGAGCTTGTCACGGTTTCAAGTTGCTCATTGGTGGCTGGCGGTTTCTAATATATCATCTTTTGGGTCATGGGTGGGTGGGATGGTCAGGGCTGGGTTTTCTGCCAGTTGTGATATGACAGTTCTGATCACAGTTCCTGTAAGTTTGCACAGGGAAAGCTCTATTTCTAGTGAGAGATATTGTTACTGAACAAAAGATTGTGTGCTTAATGCACAGTGAAGCCAGACAACCCAAATGAAATGTCAATTGGAGCAAAGGCCAATTGCAGGGCTAAGCAAGGAGGATGGGTGGCTCGAACTTGAAAAACCCGAACTCTCTGATGGTTTCTGGGGAAAAGTTTTTGTGGGCAAAATTTGGGGTGAAGGCTGTGGGGTGTGTGTCTTTCTTCTGATTGGTTGGTGGTGAGGTAACAGGATGGTGTCCAGGAATCTTGTGCTCAGCCTGAAGTTGCCAGCCTCCACCTGGCTGCAGGGCCTTGGTTCCTGCAGAAGAACTCAGGGATATTGTTCTGTGCACTCCCTGAGGAGGAACCAGGACCCTGGCCAAAGTCTGCACTCTTTTTTTCTTGGCTGTTCCTCGGGGGTTTCTGCATCTCCTCCCTTTCTGTTTGGCAACTGATTGAATCTGTCCTTTGGAACTCAGGGAAGGTCAAGGAGACTGAATGAAGCCTACTTCCTACAAACAAGAAACGAGGGACACGGAAAGGATTTGTACCAGGAAAGACCCCAAAGGGTCCTGCTCCGTTTCAATATGAATTTAGAATGTTCTCTTCTCTGTGCCCGGGAGAGTGTATATTCTTTGCACGCTCCCACATTTGCAGAAAATTGGATTTTTGATTAATGGAGAGCCTCATTTCCTTGTAGAGAACAGTTCTTGTGCTTCAGTTTACCTTTGGTTTATTTGTAAATCAATTGCAATTGAAAACATAAATGTATCCACTGCTGGGACATAATCGCCTAATTGTAAATTAAATAAGCATGATAGCTTCTCAAGGATTGAACATCAGGGCCACTGCAGCACTCCAGAGATTGCTTGATGCCCTGGAGGGGAACTGGGCCTGCCTCTTAGAGGGCTTCGCCTGGGGGTAGACCTTCAAAGCAGTTGTGTAGTGTTTCATTTTGGTTTTGAGTCACCCTTTTTAAAAATAACAGAAATGACGGGTTTCACTGTCAGGTCTATTTTCATATTTATCTAGCTACAAGGTTATGTAACCCTTTGCTGTGGCAAGAACACAGATAGTACAGTAACCATAGCAACACTGCTTCGGCTTGTTTTCTGCCTGTCAGCTTTTTTCAGCATCATATTCCTTTTAAAGCAGAGGCTCTCCTCTCTCTCTCTTTCTCACTCTCTCTCCTTCTCTCTCTCTCACCCTCACTGTCTCACCCTCACTCTCTCTTTCCCCCAGGTCCTGCCCCTTTCTCCTC